TGGTAGCCGCGTTCAGTTACGTATTTGCTAATATAGAAAATAGCCAAAACCAATAGCCATTCATGTCTTTTCAGAAAAGCAAATGAAGTAAGACATGGATACAAGCCCGACCAAATGTTATGAGGAAAAGTGATGGAACTCTTCTAACAGGCAACAAAGAGATCGCATGCGAATTCAAAGATATGTTTGCAAACCTTTTGAACCAGCCAATAATCAATATCACTGTAAACGAGCTAATGACAGTGAACAGCTACTCGTAGCCCCGTCTAAAATGATTAGAAATGGATTAAATATGTCAAGATGGTAAAGAAACTGCCAGGCGTAAGATGAGATAGTATCGGAATGTTTAAAAGGGTGGACCATGCTTACTAAACCAACTTCATAAATTAATAAACATATGGGAACAGAGGAAATACCAGAATCGTGGAGTATCATCCCTGTCCTGTTTTAAGGAGTATCATGGAGTGCGAAAATTACAGGGGATCTCGCCTCAACACTACTTATAAATTCTCCAACATTCTTCTGATCAGGAATCAATCTTATATTAAAAGTAATAGGAGAATATCGACTGTGGTTTTCATGATAGGAGATCCAGCAGTTGATCAAATCCATAAATCAAACAATTGGCTGAAAAGTCACGGGTTCAATAAAGACATCCACCTTATGTTCATAGATTACAAACAGCATACGATTCGATTAACAGGGAAAACTATGGAATGTCATGGAGCAAAGTAGAATACCAGCAAACTAGTCAGAATGATAGGCGTGTGCATATGAGTCAAGTAAAGAAACCAGTTTTGGAGAGGTATCAGATAGGTTTCCCAGTGACAGCCCAACCGGACTCCAGACAGGAGACATATCGCCAGCTTTATTTAATATCGCCTTAGAATCAGTTATACGAAAGGTACTAATCCAAGCCAAGGTAAAATGAACAACAATAACGAACTAACGTAGTGCTTACGCATGACGACATAGTCCTCATTGCCGAATCAGAGGACGATCTGAGAACTACAATCAGCATCCTACTAAATGAAGGTAAAGAGATTGGTTTAAAGATAAATGGTCAAAAACAAAGTATATGATACTATCGAGAGAAATCACAATATTACATATTTAAAGTTGATTTACAAATTTAAAGGTGTAGAGCTTCAAATATCTGGGCAAAGAGATCATGAAGTTAGCTATATACGAAGAAGTTAAAACGAATTACATGCAGATATATGCTACTATAGCCTAATGCATTTTCAAATCAAGATTACTATCAATAAATTTAAAATAACGTTATACAAAGTGTAGTCAAACCGCGTTGCCTGTATGCATGTCATGTACGTAGGCCACGACAAAATCGACGAAGGAAGTTAGGAGTTTTCGAGAGAAAGATATTAAGGAAAATCTTCGGTCCAAAGAGAAATAACGATGGAGAATATGAGGTGAGAGGCAACAGGGAATTGTATGATTTATACAGGAACTACAATTGTTGGGTCCCTGAAGAGTACAAGGATAAGTTGGCAGGACATGTATGGGTCGAGGAAATGATTGATCAATAACTAATTAGAAACCCGACACTAAGAGGCCTCGAGGACGCCCCAGACAAAGATGGGTGGATAGAGTAAAGGAAGACCTGAAACTCCTGAACGTAAGAAACGCAGAAGAATGTGCAAATGATAGAGAATGGAAACAATATGTTGTTGCGGCGATGGGCCTTAAGGGCCTGTAAAAGCCCGAAAGAAAGAAAGAAAGTTGCTTATCTATGTATTATAAAATCAATGGTATTACTTAAAGTCGCGTTATATTCGTATAATAATATACTTGATTCGGTGATTTCCGTAAATGTCGTTACAGCATCGCATTATCGATAACCGAATATTAATGCGTCTACCCTACCTAATAGTGTAGAATTGTAATGAGTAGGGCTGAGGACTTCTAGTGCTTAAAAATCTAATAATATGCATGCACTTATGCACTTAAAAATCAAGCAATATGCACTTAAAATATGCTCTAAAAAATTATTTTATTTTATTATTTTATCTTATTAGTTATTATAATATTTATTTTAAATAATTAGTAAAAATTACATTTCTTCGTCGTCGTTTTCATCTCCTTCATCTGGAAATATAAAAAGGTATTTTGTAAAATTAATTTTTATCTTGAATACGTATTAAGTTAACTAAATGTTGTACTACCTACCTTTACTATTACATTGAACGACAAGGTATTTCCTTATATTTTCAACTTGAAACGAATGTCGGTTATCTGCTAACAATGTTTTATATGTTGAGAAAGATCGTTCTAAATCTACGGAAGTTAGCGGTGCATATTTAAAAAATAACAATTCATTTGCTTTCAAGTCTTCTGGTAAGCCATCCATTGAAGTAATTTCTCCATTCAATATTTTTGAAATTATATTTAATGTTTTATAGCCATTATTTTTTGCTAAAACATCGTCTAGTTTTCGCTGCACTAATTTCCCCACTGAACCTGTAGTTTGAGACAATTTTAAATAGGCATTTTCTATTATCTTAATTCCATCGGATAAAGGCATATTTTTTGCTTCAAGGCGAGTGATTACATCGGGAAAAAATCCAAAGTTTGATTTAATGTATACCAAATTTGAAGCAACGTCTGGATCACTTAAGTACTTTTGAGAGTTTTCAACACTAACAGAATCTTTTTCATCAAACGATGTAATAATATCTCGTATTAGTTCGTAATTATCGCAATAATAAATAGCTGCTTTCAACCAGGTTCCCCATCTTGTTATGATTGGTTGTGGGGGGAGTGATAGGAGTGGTGCTTTTTCTTTAAAACAACTAATGCGACATGGAGACTTGCAAAATACTTTCTTCACGTTAGCTATAATTTTATCAACTTTTGAGTGATGCTCTCTAATTTGTTCAGCAACTCGATGAAATGCATGAACAATACATGTAACGTGAATCATTTTCGTATAAAATATATTAAGCGATTTTCCCGCTTTAACCATGTATGGTGCCGCGTCGCTTAGAAATAATAAAATATCATCATGTCGTACACCTTCAGGCCATAATATATGCATAGAATTATCAAATAATTTAGCGATTGTAATGTGATTTGATTTCTCTAGTTCTGCACAGTTTAATAAAAACACGTGACCAGGGCCATTAAGTTCGAGCGTTCCTACAATGACATTTGCGATGTAACGACCTGCGGAATCTGTCGTCTCGTCGATCGAAACCCAGATTTTTTTACCAAATATAAAACTTCTAATTTTCACTAAAGTGTCTTCATAAATGTTATTCACATAGCCTTTACGAAGTGTAGTTTGATTTGGAATTTCTTTCGAAGTATATTTTTCCAAAAATGACTTTAAATTATGATTATTTAATTTATTTAATGGAATGTTAGCCGATAACAAAGCATAACATAAATCTTTATTAAAAGAAGACTTTTTTGTGTTACTTAAAAGTTGTTGTTGAGTTTTTTGTAGATCAAATTTATTTTTACTTTGTTTTCGTTTAATAGCTGCCTTATGTTTATCTGTGTCAATGTGTTGTTTTACGTTGAATTTTCTATCACTTCCAACTTTTGAATCGCACAATTTACAATACAATATTTTGCCGTCAGTTGTAAAAACTGTACCACTACATTCACCAGTGTTGTAAAAAATACTTTTAAAAAGTATTTGAATAATTACTCAAATACTTATAAAATAAAGTATTTAAAATACCACTCAAATACTATATATAATGAAGTATTTGAGTATTACTCAAATACTTTTTATAAGTATTTGAAATAAGTTTCAAATACAAAAAAAAAAAAATCAATTTAATTCTGAATCAATCATAATATATTAATCGAATATTTGAGTATTGCATTTTATTAACATTATTTGTTCGAAATGCTTATCTGTCATATTCGTCCTTTTTTTGGTTATTGTGGCACCACCAACACTAAATACTCTCTCTACTGATGCACTACTAGGTAGCGGAGTGTTGTACTTCACAAATACCTGAAAACAAGGTACAAATATTTTTGTAATATTATTACTAATAGTATAAGAAGTTTACAACTAATCTTACTCTTTTGATAGTGGGTAAACTATGCAAACATTCCAATGTTTTTGTTGTAGATGTACCCAAAAATCTATCAATTTCATCATTAACCGTTGATTTTTCCTCTCGGGAATTTTGCGACCAGGTAAAAAAGCTAGATAAATCATCATTTACTTGGTTATCTTCTGCATCATTATTGTCATTTTCATTGGTATGTAACTCATAACAGGCACTTTTTAAATATTCTGAAGCCAATTGTTTTTTTATGTCATTTTTAATCCACGCTGTTTTAAATAATGGGTGGCAGACCGCAGCAGTAATTAAAAATTGGTCTATCAAATAATCGGCAAATCTTGTTTTTATACCTAAGAACAAAAATTATTTTCAATGAAGTTACTACACAGAAAAATAAATATAAAAAATAGATCAGCTAATTAACATTTTACATTATACATCAGTAAGACTGTAAGAACTAAGAGATATTGAATATTTAGTATTTACCAATAAAGAAAACCAAAAACAGCTAAAATCAAAAGAAATTAAATGTATAACATTAAAGTACTTGGATAAATAAGATTAATGTACTTAAAAAATATTAAATATTACATACCATTAAGTATGGCAGTCACCAGAGGTTTCATATAATTTGAAATTGTTTGATCACTTATCATTAATTCATATTTATAGATTAATTCTTCAATTGTAGGTAGGAGATGACCAAAATACATGTTAGTATCACCTTGGAGTAAATCCAAGCTTATTGAAATTGGCCCCATAATTTTTTGATATTGACACATGAAATCAATGTCACTTTTATTAAATCTGAAAATATTATTTATAAAAAATATAAATAAAATAATTAATATATATTTAGAATTTATAATTTACCTGCCAATAACCAATTCGTCCATTATTATTCTAAACTTAGGTTCATTATTTCTAATTAATTTATTAAGCAACACCACTGCGTCATACAATGAATTCCAACGTGTTTCGTTTGGTGTAATTAAATAAACGCCAAGATTTTGTTTAATTAAATCAGCTGACTTAGTTGAGCGACCTTGTTTGTTCCATAAAGCGGTAGACTTGGCAAAAGTGCTTCTTGACTGTTTTTTGTATGCAGGATTAGACAAAGCTTTTTTTGAGTCCTTAAGCAAAATTAAATAAAGGCACCAAATTTTATATTTTATACTTTAATTAAATTAGGTTATCTACTTAAATAAATGTTTAATTACTGTTGTTGCTATTAAATTTATTGTGTGTGCACAACATCGATGGTGTTTAGGTAATGCATATTGCAAATCATGGTCTTCATCATTTAGAATGTTCAAGTCGATTGCATCGATTTCTTCTACATCATCATCAACCGCATCGTTCACTAGCAATGTATCAGTATTTTCATCATCAAATATTTGACCAAATGTTCTAAAAGATAATCAAAAATTAGAGTTTAAAATAGGATAATTAGATGGTTAACTAGATGGATTTTATTATAAACTAATTTAATGAGCAATCAATACAAATTCATAATGAATAACTTACTTGAAACATTTTACAAAATTTGAGCCATTGTCTGTAGTACAGTATGATAATTTATCTGAAATTTCGAACTCGGTGTAAACTGCATCCATAGCTTTGACTAAAATATCATATGTGTGTGAACCTTCTAGTCGTCTTAATGCTAAAAGACGAGTACTTCTTGATAAATCTTCATTAATCCACGTGACCGTTATCCCAATGTATGATCTAATAAAATATAATATTAAATAATTGGTATCTAGCTATGTACAATGAACATGACTGTTATGATTATTATACTAAATAATAAAAATTTACTTTTTAAAAATCGACCAGCCGTCAGCAGTCGAAGCAATATGAGCACATTTGGACATCTCAAATCTCATTTTTAATGATAATTCTTGAAAATCATTTTCAATAGTTTTCATTAGTGTAGGTCGTGTCATAATTTTTTTGTTTGGGAAACCTCTGCCAATTATTTCCTTCAAAATAGGATTTTCTATTATTCTGAAGGGTACATTAGCACTTACAATAAATTTTTGCAATAGTTGATCTAAAGTACCTGCAATCAAAATCATTAGTTACATAACTAATTGACTATTGACAACTATATCTATAAATAGTATTTAAATTACTATTTTTTCATTAAATACTAAAATGTATTTGTGTTTTAGTGTTTATGTTTGTTGAATTTTTGTTTAAATGTATAAATTATAATACATAGATATATATAAAAATGAAAAATTTGTTGAAGATACAATATAACAAATCACAGTTGAAAGTGGCCAGTGGGTAGCTCATTGCCAATTGGTATGAATTTTAATTATATTATAATTATTCTAAAATATTTAAATATATCAATATATATTATGCACATTATAAATCATGTAGTCATATAGATATCAACTACTTTTATTAATACTGTAACTAAAAACTATTTAATAAGACAAAAATAAAAATAAACAATACACATTCTTACTTTGACTAGTTAATTTTTTGTTGTTCAAAAAATCTTCAAAAACTGGTTGTTTCATCTGGTTATTTTTATCTGATTGTTTTAAAGAACTACCAGCGTTATGCTTCAATGATCCATCATTGCATCTCTTTGTAGTGTTTTTGTTCACTGTATTATCAATGTGATCAATTTTCTTTAATATAGTTGGATGTTGTGTCTGAATAAAATGAAAAAGTATAATATATAACTCGTGTAGAGACCCAGTAAACTACATATTATTAATTTAACACATACAAGGCATTAGATGGGTCAACTGCCATTGGAAGATATGAAATTAACATTGTACTTACGCTTAAATGTTTTCTTATATTAGAGTTTGAACGTGAATCCACTTTATAACACTTCGTACCGACACAACTTAAGCACTTTACTTCCAGCTTCTTATAAAAAAAATTATCCTCAATGACTCTTAATACTTTAAAATATTGTTGATAATTTGGCCAAGGTAAAACTGATTCTTCTGAATCTGCAACCTGATCAACCTGATCTACTTCGGTTGAAGAATCACAATCACTCATTGTATTACAATTTAATAAAATCTGTAGGAACGTCAAGCAGACAACAGCGAACACGATACGAATAAGACGAACCCAAGTAATAAACTAATAAATATTACAATAGTGTAAAACAGCGTCGGGCTCAATAATCCATATGCAATATTGTAAAAGTGTATAACTGATTGTGCGCTAATGACCAATTGGAAATTTGTTATTCGTAGTTCGTACACACAAAAATAATATTATTTTCTTATAAAACTATGAAAATAAAATGAGTAATACCATGTTTCACATATCATTATGGTGCTATATTAATAGGCAATAGCTATATTCAGATATTTCGTACAGTCGACGATAAACGATAAATATTGACAACCATTTTCTTAGTAATTAGGTATAGTACTAATAAGTAATAATATTTTTGTACAGCAGAATCAGTAATCAGTCAATATTAATGGGTATATGTAACATTATATTAGATTAATAAATAGATTTTAATTAAGAGTTCGTCGTAACCGCATAATATATGTTGTCTCCGTACACACGTACACACGCCGTACGGGTACGACATACCTAATGTTCGCTAATCGCTATAATATATATTGTTAGATACCGACAACGTACCGTAAAGCTATTAATAGACGAAAACTAAAATCGATATCGAATTGTTCATAAATGATAAATATATATAATATTATTATTATTTGACAATGAATAAAGAATTAAAGGAATAAAAAAAAAGTATTCAATAAAATAGTATTCAATAGTAAAAAAATGTATTTAAAATATCGTTCAAATACTTAAAAAATAAAAGTATTTTAAAAAGTATTCAATACGAAAAAAAGTATTTGAATACTTTTACTCAAATACTTTACAACACTGACATTCACTAAATTCCGACACATAACTATTTAAACGAGAAGCCAATGAGTGCTTTTCCTTTGGCATATTTGATAAAAATAAATAAATATTACTAAAAAAATTTGAAGGAGACGAAAAATTTTTCACGCAGTGTACACAATAAAACGAATTCGCGACGAAATATGACGGACAACTGAAGTTCACAACCTATACGCGTTTCGGTTTTATCGATTTTATCGGTCAGATAGTAAATTACCTAACCGATACTAAAAATATTATTTTGAAATGGAAAATTTACCACTTTGTTCTTTTTTGTCTAAGCTAATTTAAGAACTTATTTCGAAAATTGCCAAATATGTTCTTAATTTTTCTGATATACTCAAATATGCATTTATATGCAATAATGACAAAATATGCAAAAATATGCAAAATAAAATTTTTAATTTGATCTCATAGTGTTATGAAACACATTTGTTATTCACTAGAATTTTTCTACGATTTTTCTAAAAAAATATGCAAAAACTAGAAGTCCTCAGCCCTAGTAATGAGTAATGACCAATATTAATATATTTGCACGGTAATAGCAGTAGTCGTCGTGAATGAACCGTACGTAAGGTGTATTCGTCATTTCGAATTGCGCATTATCAACTCGTGTTTTATATCTTTCTGGAAAATGGAAAATTTCTTAATATTAAGAGTACAACCGCTTATATGAAGACAGCAAAGAAGAAAATAAACGTAAGTTCAGAAAATACGATGATAGTTATTTAGACTTTGGTTTACTTACATTAAAATAGACAACGAAGAACGTCCGAAATGTGTTATTTGTTTAAAAGTATTAGCTGCCGATAGTATGATTCCAAATAAATTAAAGCATCATTTTGAAACTAATCATGGATCGTTAATTAATAAAATGGATATATTTGTAAGGCAACGAACAATTAGAAAACAATCAACCAGTTTTATTAAACAGACAAGTGTTCAACAAAGCACTTTAGTTTATAAGGTAGCATTTTCGTGTTGCTCAGAGTAAAAACCCACAATTGCTGAAGAATTTTTTATCATCAGCTAGATGGTTTCTACTATGATCGGGGAATCTGCTGCAAACCAACTTGCAATATTCCCTTGTCTATCATACAATAAGTCGGCAACTAGCTGATATTTCGAAATATAAATGAACAGCTTATTAGTAAATTAAAACAAAATTTTGCAATTCAACTTGATGAAGCTACCGATAGTAATAAGACGCACACTTGATGCTATATATCCGTTTTATGGACAAACAAATATATAGAAGAGTTATTATTTTGTAAACCAATTTTCGGAGACACTAAGGCTCAAACCTTATTTGATATCACTAATGACTTTATGAATTGTAATAATATTAATTGGGAAAACTGTTTGGGTGTATGTACAGATGGGGCTCGAGCTATGGCTGGTCATTATGGTGGACTTCAGGCTTTAATACGAAAAAGCTCCAGAAATGATATGACTCATTGTATTATCATCGAGAATCTTTAGCATCACAAAATATGTGTCCATCGTTAAATACCGTACTTCAACAGTTATAAAAGTAGTAAACTACATAAAACAGCCGTTAAGCAAGGTTCTTCAAAAATATGTGAAGAAATGGGAGCAGAGCATACTGCGTTATTGTTTTATTGTAATTCTAGATGGCTATCAAAGGAAACGTACTAATACGAGTGTTCGAACTTAGACAAGAACTTACACTTGATTTGAGTGAATGAGCGTCCATACGATTTTAACAAGTTATTTATATGATTTTGTACACAATTACGTATTTATGCGATATTTTGAAAATCAATATATCAACACATCTTTTACAAGGTAAAGAAACTATATTCTTCCAATTATAGATAAAGTGGTTGCTTTTATTAAAAATCGAGTTATGGCAAAGGAAATAAACCGATTAGAAAACGGTAAACCACGTGTTTTTCATTATTTAGTGTTTGAAGATAATGATCTTGAATACCAATGAGTCACTAAACATAATACTTCT